ATCTCTGCACAGATTTAAATTATTTATGATAGCAAAGTAGCTGAAAATTAGTGCCCCCTTACCAGGCAAAAGCAAATGTGACTTAACGCTTCACTAATTGCTAAGAAGGCTTGTGCTGGAAGTAGTCATTAATGACACAGTGTAATATTAGACAATCCTAGAATTTTTGTGGTTCACAGTCTGCTGCTGGTGACTAATGATGTTTGCCCAGTCCTGCTACTGACTGTAGGCTTTGGAAGTTTAGCAGCTGCCCATTAGCTGAGGCAGTGAGAAGAATGGGGGTAATGAATGCAAAGAGCTGAATTTATGTCTTCTCGCTTGAGACATCTCAGGTCATCAATTATAGTCAACTGGCATTTCATCCTGATGTGAAAAGGGGTCTCAGCAGGCACCAGGAGAGCTCATGGAGATGTAGCTGTCCAACTCCAAGATGTGTGCCCTGAGGTGAGATGATTCCCACACAAAGGGCCTTCCTGGATGCTAAATGGCTTTATCAGGTCTTTGCAAATTGTTTTGTGAATGTCCACACTGTTTTCTACCCTCAGTCCCCACTGCTGGTAACTGTAAACTGCAAATACCAGTGTGGGATCTATCTTACACTAAGTCTTCTTTTATAGGCAGTGAGAAAAATCAGTTGCATTTTTAGCAATCTTCATGTGTCTTAGTCTCTGTTAACTCATCATTAACTCCTCTGTGTGAACAGTTTTGTTGATCACAAAGAGGGTTTAGGGTCTGTCTCCCCTGGCAATCTCAACGGAGCTATGCTGGATGGCGTAAATCAGACCTAGGAGAAGTTTCTTGTAGGCTGCTAAACAGGTAGAATAAATGGGCTGAAGAAAGCATAACATATGCATTTTGGGGATTGCCTTTTACCTTTCCAGTTAATGACAAGCTGAGAGGGTTAGGGTTGTTCTTCTTGGAGAAGCAACAGCTCCAGGGAGACCTTAGAGCATCTTCCAGGATCCTAAAGGGGCTACAGGACAGCTGGAGAAGGACTTCAGATGAGAGCATGGAGTGATAGGACAATGGCTTTAAACTGAAAGAGGGTAGATTTAGATGGGATATTAGGAAGAATTTCTTTCCTGTGAGGGTGGTGAGGCCCTGGGACAGGATGCCCAGAGATGTTGTGGGTGTCCCAAGCCTGGAAGTGTTCAAAGCCAAGTTAGTTGGGGCTCTGAGCAACCTGCTGTAGTGAAATCCCCCACAGTAGGGAGATTGGAACTGGGTGATCTTGAAGGTCCCTTCCAACACAAGCCATTTGATGATTCTATGAATGTAATATTTTCTTTATTTTTTATCATTACAGTGGTGCATAGTGGGAAGACAAGAGGCAAAGGGCATAAATTGAAACAACATGGGGTCCAAACAGATTGAAACAGTCAAGTATTGACTGCCAACACAGTTGCTCAAAGAGGCTGAGCTGACTCTGTCAGTGGAGATTTGGCTGGATAAAACTTTGACCTCATGACTGACCCATTTTGAGGGGCAGGTTAAATGAGAGATCTCCTGAGTTCCCTTTCAACCTGAATTTTTCTATAATTAAAGCGTTACATGTGTTAATATACAAAATTTATTTTAATGCATATAATAAAGGCCATCAAGAAAATGTCAGTTTGGTTTGATTAAATTGCCTGCCTCAAAATATGGAAATGCTTTTGAGGAAGGAATAGAACCGTTATAGAGGAGCTTTGAACTGCTGTTAAGTAAATCTTTCCTTAATCATATCTACAAAGATTTGCTTGTCTTCTGGAAATGCAGATGTAGAAAGATGTAACACAGTCCAACTCTTCCATAGTAACTTTGGGTAGTTGGTGCAGATTTCCAAGGTCCGTGTTGACGTTCTTGATTCCTGAAATAAGTGCTGGAGATACAAACATCTGGATCAGTCTAGAGTCCCTAACTTTGCTCCTCCAGGCACTACATATTATCTCTGAATAAGATACAAAAGTATGCAGAAATTACCTTCATTGAAGAGAATAGTAACAAAAACCTAGCTGTTCCTTTAGGATAAGGATTTTCACATGCAGTATTCAAATAACTTTTATTCCAGTTACTTAGAAGATAATTCCTGTACATTTTACGAAAACATTTTAAATCAAAGGGGCAGTTTCAACATACTTTCAATCTTTCAAGCCAAAGAAACAAAGAAAATATAACAAGGTAATCCTGGCCACTCTGATTATACTAATTACCTTGGCCAGGATGAACACAATAATAGTCAGTGGTTTTCACCTCTTTTTGTAAAACTTCATGAATCCAGAAAACCAAATAATTGAGAACAACTTTTATTCATTAACGGGGATTGAACTGGGGTGATTGTAACAGCAAGAAAAGGAGATAAAACATCTTTGACAATAACCTTGTTTCCCAGTCTATTCACAATGAGTATTTCTAAAGAGGAAAACACATTTGGAAGAAAGCAGCCTTACTTTGGAAATCTACTTTGCTACACATTTTGGTATTTGAGAAATAATCCATAGAAAATACATTTTACAGCTGAAAGAACAAATTATAAATAAATTGTATTTGTTTGTGGGTTTTAATTTATGTTATTACTCTTCAACTATACTTTGTATGCTATCCTCCCTGAGACTATGAGTAACAGAAATTATTTTTGAGATATTTTTAAAGGTGCTTGAATGAATCAAGAGCACTTTTTTTCTGGATTACTCCCTTTTTAATAATCATTAGATTTTATACAGCATTAGGCTGAGTAGATCAGAATTCCCCACAAATGGAGAAGTGCAGTTTAGCGTTTTACTCCATGACTTGCAGCTGCTCTCAATGGAAATTTTGCTGCTGACGTGTGAGGCAGCAAGCTCAAGACTTGATTTCCTTTCCTTGATGTTTGTTCACCAGTGGAGCAATTTATAAAACCACCAGGAAAGATTTCCCTGCCTTCTCTCCCACTCTGGCCAAGGACTTGAAGGCTCTACGTGCCCTCATGCTTCCTTCTACTTTCCCATCCTTGGCTTTAGCCAACAACCTCTAGTATTCCTAGAGTTTCCTCTCCCTGTTAGTAGTCCTGAGGGAGAATGGTGTGACAATCAAAGTTTCTTTTCTGGGATTTGCAAGACAGTTTCATGGAAGAGAGGAGAGAAATTCACAAAGAAATCTGCAAAAAATGCAGAATTTTAAAGGTGAACTTTTGAGATCAGGTAAACTTCTATGGAAGTGGAGGGATGAGAATGTTTGGATGACTTGGCACAAAGCAGAATAAAGTAATTATTGTATTCCCTCAGTGCATTGCACAGAAATTGCATCTTTTCATGCATCATCCACAGCTCTCATTACTGATACCACAACATCTAAATTACTCTGAAACAAAAGAAACACCACTTTGTCCAGATGAAGACTTGAAAACTTAAGAGTGGGTGTTATAATTCTATTTTTGCCCTGATACTGTGCACAGATTCCAGGCTGTTAACCTGACTCTTGAAAAGTGTAAAATAATGAGTATTCTTCCCTGAATGTCATATTTCTCTTCCAGAAATGATGCTAATTTGTGCTGGGAGCAAGGGTTATTTTTCACATTCATAATTTTGTGTGCTGCTCTAATGGGAGAGGCCGGCAGACCGCAAAAATGAAGCGATTTCACTGCAGTTAGTTTGTCACTGGCCTCCAGCTGTTGTTCTCACAGCAGCGGTTTCCTGCAGCTCAGCAATGTGAGGTCAGCTGAAGTCATGTTGTATCTGGGGAGAAATGAAAAGGCGTTGCATGGCGGGGGGAGATACAGCCAGCACACAGACAGTAAAATTGTTTCCAGCATAACAAAGCCTCTTGATTCAGACTGTGTTCTCCTGAGATGTTCTGTGTAGTGTCTGGAAAGGAGAGGTGGAAGAGCAGGTTACGTGGCAGGAGGGCATCTCGAACATAAAGATTAAGCTCTGACGGCTTGTGGAGTTATGGAGACAACTTCGAAGGACACTAGAAGTGGTGGTGGCAGCTTCTGGATGGAAAGACCTGGCTGTGTGCCTCTGATGTGACCTTCTCCATGCAGGCTCAGCAGTGATATGTCCCAGGGAGAGTCCTTGACCGGGTGGGATCACTGCAGAGTCTGCAGGTGGGGCTGCACTGGCTCAGTAGCTCAGTGATTCTTTTCTGAGTCAACCATGTCCTCCCAGAGGTTACAATCAAGGAAAATATTTTAAAGAAATCTCCTTGCAGAGTATGGACTCAGTGTTTATTGAATGGATTCTATTCAAAACATGACCAGATGTTTTTCATTAAAAATGAAAAGTATTTTTCTAGTATAATGTCGCTCTTTTTTTTTATTTATTCTGACAAGTTGGCATAAAATATAAACTTTGTCAGATCAAGCATTTCTGTCCACCAGATCACTCATTACTGACTCAGTGGGTCACAAATTAAATCTTCTGACAGTGGGACACTGCTTGTTCCTGTGCTGACTCCACCAGGATGGGCTTTCCACCTGAGTATTTACATCTGCACTAGTTAATTTAATACTGGGTCCTCCTTTTGCCAACAGCTTCCACATATTTGATGTTGTGGCAGATTGATGAGAGTTACTATCTCATTTCCAAATACTGGATTAAACCAGTGTATTTTTTTTTGGGGGCGTGGTGGGGGTGGTGGTGGTAGTATTTTTGTTTGGCTGTTTGTTTTTTCCCCTGACCAACAGCTCAAGAACATTTAGGATTTAGGTATTTCAAATACCTATTTGAAATAGTTGAATAGAAAATTCAAATAGAAATTTGAATTAGTGCTCTAAACACACTCTTAAGTTTCTGTTTACATCCTATCACTATATACAATTAAAAAAAAAAATGAACAGACTTCTCCCTGAAAAAGGTATTGATCACATCTTTTTTTTTTGTAAATTGTTTTTAGAAGCTGATGGCTCAGAAAGTTGATGTTATTAGCCATGCATGGACAACCAATTGTTTAATTTGCATAACTTAACCTGTTTTGGAGTTACTTCCTTTCTACTTGTCTTGATTATTTGGGCAGAATTAGTGACAGGAAGAGAAGAGTGAAAAATGGCTGAATTCTTACTACCTGGTACCAACAACTTCCGTAAGTTCACTCAGGAATCCTTGGCTGCCATCAGAAAGAGAATTGCTGCCAAGAAGAATTGTCGAAGAAACACCACAGAGCAGAAACCTGAGGAGAAACCACGCCCCCAGCTTGACCTAAAAGCTTTCCAGAAGTTACCAGCTCTCTATGGAAATCCTCCTCCAGAGCTTATTGGGGAACCACTGGAGGATCTTGACCCCTACTACAAAGATCATAAGGTTAGAGCCAACCAACATGCTTGGATTCTGATCTTAATTAATTGAATTTGATTTAATTTATTTTTAATTTATTGCATTGTCAAGAAAAGTTTATGTGAATGATCTATCAAAAGGTTTTGCTTACACTCCTTTGGAAAAACTATCATTCCTTTCTAGCTTAAATAATGCATGCAGCTGGCACACCTGAGTGACATGCTGCAATCTTTAAAGAGAAAGCTTAATTATGAATTAAAGGAACTCATTAATATGAAATTGATTAACATTTGAATCAGAGTGGAAGCAGAAAGAATAAAATGGATAAAGGGGGGAAAGTGGGTTTTGAGTCAGATCTACAAGAAATGATATTAATTTCATACATTTTCTTAAATTCCATAGTTTGAAACAATGTGTTTCACTCTGTCTCAATGGTTATTTTCCACTTACATGTATAATAAATAACTAAATATAAAAATTATTTTCAAATTATTGCTGATTAATCCTTAAAAACTACTTATTCAAACTCTATATTCTAGTCATGACATATTGGAGAATATAATTTTTAACAATGAACAAAGAAATAGGAATGAATCCATTGGAAATTATGCTTATTTCTTCAGAAATGGTTAAAACATTGAACTAATTTCTACAGTCTTAGAGCCAGAGGATCACTGTCAACAACGGTAGATAGGCTGCAGCTCTTCCTTCCACCTTTGTATATCTTGACACAATGAGAGGTTAATTCTATTTCAAGAGAATAATCATAGGCAAGATTAGTTCTGTGCACAGCTCTTTTCAAATCCCAAAGTATAAAAAAGAAGTTCATGCTAAGGAATATTTTGCAGCCTGAGAGTTAAGGGGTATTAACTCTTCCATCAATTTCTGATGAAAGGATAGCAAAGTAATAAAGAGTCTTTCCAATTAACCAAACAGACTAGAGTGACATTCAGGCTCTTACTCATGATTGATACACAGGATATAGCACAAAAATATGTTCTCTGTTCAACTTACTGAAAAATTATTGTTTGTTTATTTTTAAAAGGTTTTCATAGTGCTAAACAAAAAGAAAACAATCTTCAGATTTACTGCTACACGCGCCCTGTGGATCCTCAGTCCTTTCCATCCAATACGAAGATGGGCAATTAAAATTTTAGTACATTCATATCCTTTTATTGGTATTGTTCGCTCTTTTTTTTTATTATTATAAAATCCTAAGTAATTCTATGCCTCTGTGTTTTAGAGCATCGAATGAATCTGACCTTTTCCCCACTACAGATTGATTCTAATTATGAATTACCTTTGATATTATTAGTGGTTTGATGCTCTTGTGCTACTTAGAAATAAAGAGTTTTGTGAGTATTGGGCTTCTGATCCTGATTTTCTACAGATCTGTTTTTTGAGAATGAGCTCTGATATTGATTTCCTGATGTCTCAGAAACAAGTATCTCATGCTGGATCCTTTCCCAGTGAGAAGATTAATAAGATCTCTATCCTTTTTCTTATCTACTGCTTACCCAAATGTAGTAATTAAATTCAACTCCTATGCAAAGGCTGATCAGCCATTTACCAGTTTTAAGCGAAAAGGATGAAACAGGCAGGCATGCATAGGAAAACACACAGAAAGAAAAGTCATGCAAACTTACTTTCTTTGGGAATTAAGACTCAGAAAATAAAACTTTGGCATATAAAAGTAAATATTTGCATGGATGCTGCTGCAGAGAATGCCTCTGGGATATAAAGGTAATTCAGATCCCACCTCAGACATCATATTGAAGGGATGGGAATCAGTAGGGCATTGCTCCAGGTTGGCACAGGGGAATGAGACCTGAGCAAAAATGCTGTTTCCTCCTGAGGTAGCTGCAATGGGTCTGAAGTTGCTGTTGTAGCAGTGTACAGACATCCTCAGAACAGTAATGCCTCTGAGGCTTTCCCAGCCCAGAAGTAGGATGATGCTGGCATTTCAACACTGCTGGGTCCAGATCCTTGGGTCAGTTTAACCAGCAGGTCCCAGAGAGCACCTGGGCAGCCCCAGCAGTTGGCTAAACATGTTCATCCAGAGTCATCTGAGGCACCTGTGGATATCCTGGCAGACTTCATGCAGTCCCTTCAGAGGAAAACAGCTTGGCTGGTTTAGAATCAGGTTTGGGCTCCACCTATGTGACCTTGGAAAAGTTTTTAACTCCTCTGCTATAAAATGAGATTCAAATTGCATCCTTCCTCCCACTCTTGGAGTGATTGAGGATCCTGCTAGCAGGTTTGCAATGCTTAGAGCAGCATACAGAAGTCCATGAATAATAACAGTAGTAACTCAATATTAACAAATACCTCTCTATGCTGTTCTTACATGTGCTTTAAGGAAAAACACAAATACTACATCTAAGACTGATGGAATATCTAGTTACTATTCTGAATCAATGTCTTATTCTTTGCCTTCACTCCTGTGACTTACATTATTCACTTTGTTTATCATGTGCACCATTCTAACTAATTGTGTATTCATGGCTCTGACTGAGTCCTCAAAGACTACATCTCCATCGAAGTTACTTAAGTATGTTGAGTAAGTATCTGTGGGTATGTATATTTCTTAATTCTATAGTTAGACTGAATTACTGATATTTGTCTTGCCTCCCTCACTCAAGGTAGCTTGTGGGAGAATTAAAAGGAAAGTTGCTTGTGTTAGGACTTCATATGTATATATTTATTTTATTTGAGTATTTTTGTCTTTAAACTAGATCTCTACAATAATTTTGGTATTATATGAGAGAATAAGTGTAGATTAAGTTCCACTTTGAACTGGCTTCATGTCTTTTCTACTGCTCCAATTTGTTATGCCACTTTCTGTAGTTACTCAATAATTATTTGCTCTCTATTGAGATGCATTTCCCACTGTCACTGATGCTGATGAAGCACATGGAAAGCTGCTATTTTTGAAAATTCTTTCTAATAATGTTGAAATGCTGAGTTTTGCTCTAATAAAATGTGCTGTCAGAAGGTCTTGGCTTGCAGGACTCTGTAAGAAACTAATTATCTTGAGTGTTGCCAACACTTGCAATGTTACATTGCAAAAAATATGTGCCTTTGTAGTCCTTAGAATGTATTATCCCATGATTTTAATTTTTTTAAAAAGAATATTTCAGATCTCACCTTTTCACTTTGTAAAAAAACCCTCTAGAGTATGAACACTGAAAATTCTAACACCTAACACAAAGGAAAAGATTCCCAAAGACTTTGTTTTAAAAAGAGGTCTAAAATTATTTTTTACTATCTCATGTTACATGACACTGAAACAGCTGGGAATGGCAAATCCTCATGGAAGCAGGAACAAGGCTTTGCATGGTATTGATATACATATACTTCTCTACATATGAGAGAATTAAAGATTACATCAGAGTTGAATCTGCTGTTGGCATCAACCACCATTCAAAAGCATTTCAAGAATAATTTCTGAGTACTTCTTTCCAAATGAAAAGGGAAGCACTACATCCATATAATTTCTTAGTGCATTTGCTGACTACCAAATGAATGCCTTTTGAATCCTGTAGGGAGATCGCTGCCTTCTTGAAATTGTAAGTGCACTCAGTTAAGTCCAGAAGAGCTTTTACTGATAATTTTCCATTAATAAGAATAATTGCCATCTTAAATTGAAAATCCTCTACTCTTGTATTCCTCTAAGTGTTTTAAATATTCTGCACAGAAGGGGATGCTGCATGCCCGAAGTGAATAACACATGGCATATTGCACATTCACCTGTCCGCTTGAAACCAGAGGAGGATACACATTTTGATCTTCATTTTATGTAGTAGCTGGGAGTCTTGTGTTTCTGAAATTACAGGAGCTCACATGAAAGAGTTTGGAAAAAAAATTGCTGAATGCCAAAAATGTTGCAAGTTATATGTTATGTCCAGGTTTCAGTCAGCTACTGTCTCCAACTCCATATGAGGCAGATACTGCTGGAATTCACTGACATCAACAGCAGTCTGAGTTACTTCTCTCCAGCATTGGCTCTGTTTGCTGGCCTAGACATTAAATAGTCTGACTGTGTCTCTTCCGTGCTAAGTGCTAATATTGCTCTTTTCCTTTTCTCCCTTCCTTAGATTTACTTTCACTGGCATTTATACTTTTGAATCATTGATAAAAATACTGGCAAGGGGATTCTGTCTAAATGAATTCACTTTCCTTCGAGATCCCTGGAACTGGTTGGACTTCAGCGTTATCGTTATGGCGTAAGTGGGAACACATAAAATATGGATTACGTGCCTTGGCTCTCTCTGTTTGAAGTTCTCATTGCTGTGGTGCAGAAGGTTTTGTCTGTGGTACAAAAACCAACCTGTGGCTCCTAATTGCACCTGAAACTGTCTAAAACATTGGCTTTTCCCCTTGTTTATCACTCACTGTTTTACAACAACATTTTAGTCTTTCAAGAAGGGAATGGAGCTGTGGAGAGCAAGATAAGCCCACTGGTGAGTGGATATGAAAGGATGTGTTTGGACCAGTGAAATGTAATAGCTGGGCATAAATACAGACATACTGATCCTATGAATGACAGTATAACTTTTCAATGAGAATGATGGTTATTGACACCAGGACAGTGGATTAAATTTGAGCTCAATCTCCAAGAATCATAGTTTAAGCTTCATTTTCTGGTGATTAGGAGGTTTTAATAGTGGTTAAGCGCAGCTACAGAAGGAGGATCAAACCAGTTCAGCCAGCATTTAAGCCTGAAATTGATATTTTTGAGTGTAATCTTTGTTTATGTATTAAATGAAGGATGATTTAAGATGCTGGCACAAAAGCTGCTGTGCACAATCCATGAGCCATCTCAGATGAAAATTCTAAAAATCAAGAAATGGGTTTCTATTGTATAAGTCTTCAGACAAATCACTGATATGTAGTTTTTTTCAAACTTGAAATAAACTTGGAAGGATTGACATCCAAGAATGACCACCGTAAAATAATTGCCCTCTTTACCCTGTTCAACCACTTGACATGTCACATCTGGACTTTACAGGTATGTGGGAGCATTTAGTGCCTTGGGAAGTATGTCAGTCCTTCGAACTTTCAGGGTTCTGAGAGCTTTAAAAACCATTTCAGTAGTCCCAGGTAAGAAATCTTATTTTCTGCTAGTTCAGATTAATTCTTTGGAGATTGAAGGGACGTTACTACTAATCATCTCACATCATCAGTCTGTGCCAGGGGAGGTTTAGGTTGGGTATTAGGAAAAATTTCTTCTCTGAAGGGGTGGTCAGACATTGGAACAGGCTGCCCAGGGAAGTGGTGTAATTACCATCCCTGAAAGTGTTCAAAAAACATGTGGATGTGGCACCTGGGGACATGGTTTAATGGTGAACATGGCAGTGCTGGGGTAAGGACTGGACTCGATATTAGAGGTCTTTTCCAACCTTAACAATTCTGTGATTCTAACCCAGGGAAAACAGATTCCTTTCCACTTTTCCCTTAGTTATAAAGCCAGTGGATTCTTTCTCATAGTGAAACAAAAATTAAGAGTGAGTTTCCTCTGTCTTCTCTTTCTGTCATAATCATTATTGTTTACAGTATCTTTACAAATTACCAGTGTTGCAAGTTTCATTTGAATTATGTCACTTTTTATGGATAAGGAAAAACTAGACCATCTCTCGTTCCTCATCGTGCATGAATATTTTGCAGGGATTAAAGGAACTTTTGAAAATTGTAGGGTCAATGAAAGGAGGAAAAAATATTTCTCTCGTATGACTCACTCTCATCCAAGCTATACTTCTATTGTAAATATGTTTACCACATATTTTCCTGTAATTTTTGTACTTTAATTTTTATACATTGTTTTTCATCATGTTTTTCCCATTTATACTGTCTCTTTAGGACTCAAGATCATTGTAGGGGCACTTATCCAGTCTGTTAAGAAACTTGCTAATGTGATGATCCTGACTGTTTTCTGCCTGAGTGTCTTTGCCCTCATTGGCCTCCAGCTTTTCAAGGGAAATCTCAGGCAAAAGTGTATCAAGAACACTACAGAGTGGTGTAACAAAACATGGGAAACCTATGAAATGTTTGTTAATGATTCAGGTAATTTTTCTCCTTAATTCTTTTTTAGATGATAATATAGATAACTATGCATGCATGCATAACCACTGCTGAGAATTATGTTGGTGTTTTGGTTGATATTTTGATGAATAACTATCTGTTAATGGCTTTTTTATTGCCAGAGCAGCTCGCAGGCATCCAGGAACTCTCTCCTTCCCTTCATTATAGGAAAAAGCACTCCCAAATTTTCCAGTAACATCCAGCTCTGTTTCCCTGAATATATGACAGTAACTGAAACACTCATTAGCTCATTCTCTGTTTCAATTCCCTAAAGTTCACCTTTTACTTCATGCTGAAGAGTCCGTCTTCATTTTCCTGCCCAGCGAGAATAAGTCTTCAGCTTGAAATTGAGGAATTTGTTAAAAAGTCAAATTACTTTCTTCTTGACATCCTATGTGTCTTATTTTATGCCTTATATAAGATATATACCATACACATCATTCATGGTTACACCTTGACTGAGGCTGGTGATGGAACCATAGAGCAGAGATCTGAAAATACATCAAAGCATTCTCAAGAGGAACAACTGTAAGATGCATTTCAGAAAGGAAGAGCCATATGCTAAAGGAGAAGCCTCAATATATGTGAAAAAATTGACTCAAAATAATCAATGTCTCTGCCAGAAATATGAAGAAAGATTCATCACTGAAGAAAATCTCCCCAAGCGAGTTCAGACATAGCAGCAGCTACACAGGGAGACGAGAATTCTCCCAGGGGAAGTGTTGAAATACATGAGAAGCCACCCAGGACTGCTGTTTGTACACATTTTGTGTGGGAGGTTTGTTCAGACAGGGTTTCTTCAACAACTTCATAGTCCAGGGGAAGAAAGTGTTTGTAGACCAGATTTTTGAGGAAAAACTTTTCTCTTGCACCTACCAAAAGACCACAGATAAGAAGAAAGTTATTTACACGTACAGAATGTTGTAAAAATCGTACTTAAAAGCAAACTTGAGAAGAAACCAGGCAGTGACTAGAACACCACACAAGAGACCATGGATGTGACAAAGTTTGGCTAAAAATGCTGATTTTCTATGCTGAAGAAACAGAGAGCAAAAGAATCTACGTTTCATTATTTACTTAATGCAGAATATTGCAGCTGTATAGAGGCAATGGCCTGGAGAAAGTTGAGCTCGAGAAATTAAAAACCCGTGTTGCTTCACAAGCTTTGTCTTGTTCAAATTTTATGCCAAAAGGAATAGGAAACAAAAGGAATAGGGAGGCCCAGACAGGTTTAATACGAGGTAGATGACTTTCCTACGGGATTTGGGATGTACAGCACTATAAACCCAGTTTTGTATAAAATTTTATATATATATTTTTATGGGCTGCTTTAGCCCTAATTTTGTGGGAAGTTCCCATCTCCAACATGGAGAACTACATGCTATTATGAGTCCCTGAAGTTCAGTCACTGACTTCTTAAACAAATCTTTCTATCAGTTGGCAGGAGCATAGCTGAGCAAAATTTGGGTGGAAAGCAGCCTAGATAGTGACTCATTCCTTTGCAGAGTATTTACATAGCAGAGTATAGCTGATAGTAATAGTTCCTGTTGGCTCTTAAATCCCACTGACTTACCTGATGAGCACAGCTGAGGTTTGAGAAGCACCAGGAATACATGAGACCTCCCTTACATCTGGGATAATAAACCCACATCTTAATGGAGATAATTAGCTATTAGCACTAAAGCTTTTACTTGGAGTCTGCTGATAGCTCAGGCATCAGAGTAACTAATGCTAAGGGAAATAGGGTAAGGCTTCAAACAGGGCACAGCTCCAGCATCCTAATGGAAAAAATCTTAATTTCTCAGCCAAGCAGGGTTAGGAGATGCTGTTTGGCTCAGCAGTGGTGGATATCCACACAGCCAAATACTTTTTGTTTCTCCTTAAAACTGGGCCTTGTTTTTTATTGCTCACTGGAAACAGAGCTGGTCTATGCTACTTCGAGTGATGTTTGCACTGGAGAAGACTGATTGCTATGGCCCAGAACTGTGCCAGAGTTTGTGCTAATGGTTACCAAACCATGGATTGGTTTAACATTTAGATTAGATATTAGGAGGAGCGGTGAGGCACTCGAACACGTTGCCCAGAGAAGCTGTGGAGGCCCCATCCCTGGAAGTGTTCAAGGCCAAGTTGGATGGGGCTTGGAGCAACCTGGTCTGGTGGAAGGTGACCCTGACCATGGCAGGGGGCTTGGAACAAGATGAGCTTTATGGTCATTTCCAACCCAAACCACTTCAAGATTCTGTGGCTGTTCTTGAGCCTGTGCCTCCAGTTCTCCATTTCCTTTATGGAGATGTAGCCAAAGTGATAATGTTTTTTAAATTTCTGTATTTAAGGTCTGCATTCAGTTTGAAACTTGTACATAGCCATATGAATATTTGTAAATGAGGCCAGGACATCCTGCAATCTGGTGCAGTTAATGTGAGCATGGGAAACCTCTCTGTGTGTGCACACACATTTACAGGTCACTGGTTACTCATCACTATTCATATTCAATGACAGAGGATTCAGCCCAGGAAGTGCTTTGGGCTTAATTTTTTTTGTTTCCTTTTTTTCTTATAGATGATTTTGCTAAGAAAAATGGCACCTTAGATATTTTGCTGTGTGGTCCTGGTGCTGGGTAAGTACACTTAAGAATATTTATTCTTTGGAAGTTTTCTCTGCCTCAGTGCTTCTATATTTGCTCAGTTATGTGAGACCAAAGGAGAAATTTCAAGCTTTCCTTGAATGCAGAAACAGGAACACAGAAAACAAAGTATAGTAAAAAGTCAGATCATGTAATACTTGTAGGGAAGGAAGTATGAACCTGCAGTTGGCTTATTCAGGTCTAAATTCCTTCTAGACTTTCCAGAAATGCTGTCTTTCCCTTCCCCGTGGATGTATGAGAGAACTGAAAATGGGGAAGATCTGGGCTATGGTACAGGACAGACACTCTCTTCTCTGTGAAGGCTCATGAGTGTTAAACTGGAAAAACAAAACATGAATTTTGGAGGGCAGTTTTGGGCAAGGAGGGAGATGTGACTACTCTGCAGTGAGGGAACTGTCCTGGGATGGTGGTCTAACTCCAGTCTGTGTTCTTCGTTTGTTGCTGTGTTGTGAGTGCTGCTTTTTCCATCCCACCTTCCACCCAATACTACCTGGAGCAGAAAATTGGTATGCAATCTAATGAAAATGCAGAACTGAATCATAATCAGAATTCTTACATAAGCTGAAGTTTTCCTTGAAATCTCTATGGCTAAAAGAGCTCAATTTCTTATTATTACTTCTAGGGTCTGTCCTCCAGGCTATAAATGCTGTAAAATTGGTCCAAATCCTGATTATGGTTTCACCAGCTTTGATACATTTGGCTGGGCTTTTCTTTCCTTATTCCGCCTGATGACCCAGGACTACTGGGAGCGTCTGTACCAACAGGTACCAGCTTTGTGCATAATTCAGGACTGGTCTTCAATAGTTGAAGCAGAAAATGTGTAGAGAGGACGAGAAGCCTCAAATAAAAGCAGTATCTGCAAGTCTTCCAGCCCACATCTTCCCCTCTGTCTTCCCACAAGCAGTGACTCCTAGAAAGGGGATGCTGAAGTGCTTCCCAGCTCTATCACCCTGCTGGCTTAGGGTCTTAAAAAAAAACATACTAGAAGGGTACTGTACTGTCCTTCAGAAATATAAAAATGCCTCGTTGATTGTCTTCATGCGGAGTAGAATCAGTGATTCACAGTTGAGGGTATAGGAAGAGGGAGAAAGACGGGGAAGGAGGGCCAAGGAAGGTCTAATTCCAGTTCAGCTGCCTAAAGCACGTGTCTAGGAAGCTCAGTGCTTCTCAAGAATGTCAGAGACACACTGAAAGCCTATTTGGTATTTTTTATGGTAATGTTTATCCCCGGGGTGTGTTGCTTACAGACCCTCAGAGCTTCTGGAAAGATGTATATAGTCTTCTTCATGATGGTCATCTTTCTGGGCTCATTTTATCTAGTCAACTTGATTCTGGCTGTAGTAACAATGGCATATGAAGACCAGAACAAGGCCACCATTGCTGAAACAGAGGCAAAGGAAAGGAAATTTCGGGAAGCCATGGAACTACTACAGAAGGAGCAAGAGGTACGTAAATTATTATCTCGCAAGCATTAGTCTCTGTGTTCTGTTGTCAGTCACACAGGACTCACAGAGTGGTTTGGTTTGGAAGGGACCTTAAAGATTATTTTGTTTCAAACTCTTGCCTTGGAAAGGGAACTTTCCACTAGACCAGGATGCTCAGACATGCCCCTCCAAACATAAAAAAAAGCACTCTCTGTGTACAGCTGTGTATGGTAATCCTTCATGGAAACAGGAGCAAGTGATAACTTATTGAAAATAGTGAATCTTAGAGTTACAGAACAATTCCTTGTTCAGCTGGGTATTTTTCGTGTGAAACAATGACTTTTGTTGTAGATAAAGAGCATTAAAGTCTGATGTTACTTTTAGAAAAATGGTGTTTTAAAATCTGGAAAATGTAAAATTCCATCAACCAGCAGCTTCCAAAAGAAAATGTAGTTGGTTTTCATTTTTTTTCCCTTCTATTTTGTCATTGTGGGCGGCTGAACAAAGAATTATACAGTAATTCTGCCAATCAACTGCATTAACATCTAAGCCAAAACCTACTGTAGTTGAATGAAAAGTTTCTTGGTAACTTAAACACCTGCAATAAGATATTCCTGTGTTTTGAACACACTGTCCTAAATTCAGTATGGGAAGGAAAGTCAGCCACAGTGTGAGTGCAGTCCCCAATGAAAATTGGAATTTTAATACTGTTTGAGCAATTTTTTTGTGGAAAGAGTACATTCTACAACATTATTTTCAAACTGAGTATTTTTGTTGTAAGCAAATCTACCATATGGAGGAATAGGAACTGTAATATGATTCTTTTGCCTCTGGCAGGCCCAGTACATGCGATCATGCAACATGCTGCAAACAGCAAATTGTTCAGTGCTCCATACGTTGGGGGAATTCTCTGCTCTTTCTTTTAGTCTTATCACATACTGGAAGATTTTTAATGAGCTTTGTGAAACACAAATTGTTAACAGGAAATACTAATACTGAGCAGTGTTATCTTCCTGTTTTTAATCAAAGAACCCTGTAAAAATATCATCCATGTTTTTGTTTTAATTTCAGTCATTGGGTATTAAAGGAATTGATGTCCTGTCACTTTGCTCCTTTGAAGACCCTTCTCCATCTGCCAAAGAAATCAAAGAAAGGAACAACAGGAAAAAGAGAAATAAGTCCTTGGGGATAGAAGATAATGAAGAAGAAGAAGAATTCCCCAAGTTACAGCTCACAGACAATCAACGAAAGTTGGTAATCTATTGTCTGAATCTGAGATCCTTACAGCTTTTCCAGTTTTAATACTAAAATTAATTGCTTGAAAGTATAAACCAAATATCATTACAAACGGAGATCACTCTCAGGTCTTTAAAAAACTTTCTGGGATGAAGAATTAAATGTAAAAATTAATTTGGAAAGGAAATGTTATAAATGAATGATGAAAAAAATTGTAATAGTTAAAACACATTTTCTATAACACTGAGAAATAAAAAAAGGTGAATGATTACTAGAATTTAGCTTTTATACCCTCATTGTCTGTTAAAATGTCTTGCTTAATATAAAGCTTACCACAAAAAATAGCTGCTATAGATGATAGGATTTTATTATCTGCCTTTTAAAATATAAACACAATCCTTTCAAAAATATCTAAATCAAATAAGAGTTTTTGGGCTTGCAATGACTGATAGTTAATGTTATGAAACTCTACACATTTACTGTTTCCCCAAATTTTCAGTATGATGTTATGATGTTCTCTCTATATTGCTTTTTCTGGGCTTTTAGTCTCTCCTTGGCCTGGTGTACGGTCCCAATGCAAGCCAGGGGAGACGCAGACTTAGCCACGGGAGCGTGTTCAATTTCCAAATTCCCGCCGTGGAAGTGGATTCCAGGATGGATTTCGGTGATGAGGAAACCCACAGTGCTGGGGGACACAAAATCCTGTGCCATTCCCCGTCGGGCACGCAGATTGGAAGGCGCTCCAGCTGGCAGAGCCAAATGAGCCACAGCTCTCAGCCCCCTACCCCGAACTGTGTGCAGAGCAAGGGGGCCAACACGGATGACTGCCATGGTGTGGCTTTGGGGCTGGGAGGAGGAAGCAGCAGGGTTCACAGTCAAGATCCAGTGTCATCTGAAGGATTAATGCTTCCACCAGTAATGGAAGACTCGGGAAAGGGAGATCTGGTAAGGAAAAACATATTATTTTAAATATATACTTTATATTATTGTTGTCGTTCAGTGGCAGGGGTTTCTTGTCTTAGGAGTTTCATTGCAATGTCAAAGAGTGATGTGAACTGAAGTATATTGATGTGAGGAGTTTATAGGTTGTCAGTAGAAGCAGGGTTTTAATAGCCTGATGAGCTCCTGAAAACTAGACTTTGACATTCCTGTTATAAACTTTATGTTTGTACTATTCATTAATTGTACTAACACAGTTTTAAAGGTTCCTAGTGCTGAAACTACAAGTCACCAAAGAGTCTTTTTGACCCAAACTCAGTCCAGGAATGTCATTTTGAGCAGTACCTTTGATTTTTTTTCTCCATAGCACCTTTATCATCACACATCAGCTTTTTCTGCAAGTTCCCCAAGTGGGCATGTTATAAGTTAGTATAAGAATTTAGACAACTCAATTCCAATTAAACATTGATAAATTTATTAAGCAAGCGATAATAAAGCAAAACAGCGCTGGGTGGCCTGGAGGGCAGTGCCCTGCCGAGGCACACACCGAAATGAAGTCAGTGTCTCTTTTTATACACGTTCGTGGTTGTTAAGTACATGTTAAGTGGTGTCTGGCATTGGCTTTTCGGATGTAAATTTGTTTGTTGCTTGAGTTCGGTGGCTGGGTAAGTGGTAGTCTGGTATTTGTCAGAGATGAAAAGGTGCAGTTCTTATCAGTTGTGTATTGACACTTGCTTGATTAGCAAGCTGTCCGTGAAACTCCTCTTGTTTAATTACAACAAAAACTTTCTGACTCCCTCATACACATAAGATTTTATGAACAAAGTTAACTCTTCTATTACAGGCAGAGTAACTTTTCTAACATTTATCCCTCACCTCTCCTCTGTTCCATCAGTCTCGTGAATATTTCCTAGGCCTATTTCCCCTCATACTTTTATTCCCAAGGTCTGTGCTTGCCCTGTTGCCATTACATGCTTGCAGGATCCATTTACTACACCTCTATTACTGAAGAGTAGGACCTTCATTCTCAACATCTATTACATCTTGTAAAAAGGTGCATTTATTTGGCTGCGTGTCATTGTTCCTATTAACTCTCATAGCTACCCATCATCACATCCTACTTTGTTTCATTCCTGTGGTATCTCCCTAATCATGTTTACTTCTTTGAGCAGCCAGCTGCATGTGATGAGAGCAGCCTGATGCATTTACCTCCTCATCTGTCAGTGGAGTACTTTAATGAGGCTCTTCAGAGACAGAGGGCAGCAAGTGTAGTCAGCATAATTACCAGTGTCTTGGAGGGTAAGTGGTTCCTCATAATGTTTATTTCCATCCTGAAGTAATACTACCACGAAAGAACAAAATATATTTCTTAAAGGTTAACAGAGAACTGTGGGTGTGTGGTGAGGAATTTTGTTGTTAATCTGGCTCTTTTTTAGAAAAAATGCATTATCACACAGTCTTTGTGTACTGGAACACATCCTTTGCCCATGTAAAAGCTCATTTTGAAGGACAGACTGTGAAGGGGGTTGGAGTGAGAGGGGGTGTAAGAATTTTCTTTAGCATCTGACCTGCAAGACTGGGACACTTGTTTTATCACCTGTGATTTCTGGAGAACACATAGCCATGCAGAATCCAGCAATTAATAAGATTATGGAACTAAAATTAGTTGTGCAAATTCCTAGATTTCAAATACCTCACCTCACAATTTTATTCCTTTAACTTACCTTTCCATGTGAATTTTTTTTTTTTTTGGGGGGGGAGTTGTTAATCAATGACAGTAATTTTGATGACTGATAGTTTTGTTGGAGCTCTTCCTGAAAAATTTCAGTCCAAGTTGTTTTTCAGGATGGTGTTTTGTTTTGTTTTGTCCTTGTTGAGGATCTTTACCACCAGTTCTTGGACCACAAGTATGGGGATTTAGCAGGGGGGTACCCTGTGACAGGGAGGTCTCTGTTTTTAATTTTTTAAAAACATTTTCTCAGGAGAATCACAGCTGCAACACATCCAGTTGAGCTTTGCTTTGCAGCGTAATTCATCAAAGATCTGGGTTTTGTTGCACAGTTTCAGCTGTGAACTGGGATGCAACAGGACTTACAGCTCTAAGTGGCTGCAGATTAACCTGAGAACAGGCATCAGAAAGGGTCTTTACTGGGACCTAAACACCAGTTCTGCTGGATCCACAATGTACTCATAAAGTCAACTGATCTAGGAGAATGGAAGGCAAGAACTAGACCTGGAGTGAAGGTTGAGTCCAGGTGATCACACTGGAATAAGCAGTGTAGGGTAGAATTTGGGACTTTATCCTAGAGAAGAAATGAAAACGAAACAGAGGGAAGAAATATGGACAGGTCAAACTAAGAAAAGGATAAAAATCCAGTTCATTTGATATCTGTAAAGTATTCAGGCCCTAGAAAAGGAGATTACTAATTCCTGCTGTGCTTGTATTAAGTCAGCTCCAGTTTTTCAGTGAATTTGCAAAAGACTTAAGATGGGTCAAAAGTATTTTGAAGGACTCATTAATATTGTCGATGAAGAAAGAAAGGCTATGAGATTTATATTTGATCAAAAGGATGCAAGTGACAAAGACAGACCTGCTCCTGTCCCAAGTTTTATTTATGGAAAATGGAGAGGTCTGGAAAATGGTAGATGTGACCTTTCCTATAGGAGTGGCCTAAGGCCAAATTTCAGGCACTATAGCTTGGATATTATTCACCTAAAATCAGGATTCTTTTGTTTGCCACTGAGCCTCAAAACTCCCTTGAGAGTCAAAGGAGACAAAGAGTTGTTGGGTGTGATACAGTTGGTGTCCCAGACATCTCCATGAGGACAAGGTGGGAAGTGCTGTAGCCCCTCTACTGACCTACAAGAGCATGAGAAGCCTCTGTATCACAAAAGTCTGCATTTACTCAGATGACTGTGGTACCAGTCTGAGCCTAAGACAAATAAAACTCCTTCCAAAGGCTTTTGAAGCAAGTGCTCATGAATGGATTTGGAATCCAATTTTCTCTGGATTTTTATCTTCCTGTTTATCAACCAATGTAGGGATTAAATGAATGCCAGAAAGTGCAGGGAAGCTTTGGGGCTCTGTGAGAGTTGAGAGGGTTCCTTTTTCTTCTCAGGTCTTTTGAATGCTTTAAGTTGTTATTTCACCATCTTGCTCAGTGGTAACTATGTAATAATGGTGGGTGTTTCTTTTGCATTCAGAACATGAAGAAGCTCAGCAGAGATGCCCACCACGCCTAAAGAAATTTGCTTTAAAGTATCTAATTTGGGACTGTTGTCCACTTTGGTTGAGAATCAAGAAAAAAGTGGCTGCCTTCATAAAGGATCCTTTTTTTGATCTCACTATCACTGCTTGCATTGTGATGAACACTTTGTTCATGGCACTGGAGCACAATAACATGTCACCTACTTTTAAATTCATGCTTAAAGTAGGCAACTTGGTAAGTAAATTCTCAGCTATGCAACATTTACAGGATTAATTGATTGATTGATGGTTGTTTTCCCTTGAGGCATAAAGAGTAACAGTAAAAATTATCAAACTTTGTTTCTAATATAGAGAATTTCTTGATTAGTTTTCTCTTAATACACTTTGACATGATCCCAAGAAGACAGAAAACAACCCTTCCATTTTACTTAAAAGTGCATTAGGACTTCGTAAAAATGGGTTTTATTAACCTGTCCATGAATATTATTTGAGGGAAAATGATCTAAAGATAAGATAATTTCATGGGTACTTTTAGGCTGATGCTGCTGTTTCTTTGTCACAGGTTTTCACAGGAATCTTCACGGCAGAAATGATCTTAAAAATCATCGCTCTAGATCCCTATTATTATTTTCAGCAGTCCTGGAATATTTTTGACAGTATAATTGTCACGCTGAGTTTAATTGAACTGAGTTTCCCCAGAAGCAAAAACAAGAGGGGAAGGCGAAAAGGAGGAACCCTGTCAGTTCTACGATCCTTCAGACTGGTAATGCTTCCCACTTGCTCACTTGTATGAAACTTTGTGTTATTTTAATAGAGAATACTTTCTGTTGTCTGCAGTTAGGAGGCAAGAATTTTACCTTTTTTCAATTAATTTTTTCCTCCTCTTGGCATTAAGAATAAGAAACACACTCTTAAACTCCTTGTGATGTTAGAGTCAGAGTTTAAGGATATATAGGGTTTTTTTTGAATATACTAAGAAATACTCAAATGAAAAAGTATTCCAGAGTGGGTGTGTTATAAAACTGCTGTAAAAATATTAAAACAGGAATAAGAAATTAGGAAAAGAATTTGTCAGAGTATAAATAGAAAAAACCCCAATACTTGAAGATAGATGTGAAAGAATATTAAGGTATCCATATCATGTACCATGGATGGATTTAAGTTGCTTTACTGAAAGACAGACTCTTTTCATAGTGCTACTTTTAGTCCTTTATGTTGCATGTAAGTTAGGCACCATAATCTACATCAAGAGCATTGTATGGACACCTGCCTCTGTGGGCCAAACACTTACTAAGGACTCAAGTTTGCCTGATCCATTACGAGGTGATTAATTTATGTTTGCACACCAGGAAAAAAAGAAATCTGTAAATGCTTTTTAGAGATAATTATGTCACAAATATTGCATTGCTAGGATATTTTAGAATACCTATAATTTGGTCATTGCAGGATTTGCATGGTGCAATGATGGGTTACCTCTACCAATGTCTAACACTATGTTTTATGTTGCTACACAGCTAAGGGTCTTCAAACTGGCGAAGTCCTGGCCAACTTTAAACACTCTAATTAAAATAATTTGTAACTCCCTGGGAGCACTGAGTAATCTGACCCTCGTCCTGGGAATCATCATTTTCATTTTTGCCATAGTAGGGGTGCAACTTTTTGGGAAAAGTTATAAGCTCAACTGCACTAAAATAAGCAAAGATTGCAAGCCACGTTGGCACATGATGGACTTTTTCCATTCATTCCTCGTCGTTTTCCGAATTCTGTGTGGAGAATGGATTGAGACCATGTGGGACTGCATGGTGGTTGCTGAAACACCACTGTGTCTTTTTGTCTTTCTGCTGGTCATGGTGCTAGGAAATTTAGTGGTAAGTTTTCCAATATTTTCTTCTCTTCATCCTGTCTATGGTAGAATCTTCTTAACTGCTGTTTTGTCAACAAAAGGCATCTTCCCTAAACACAGGTGTAAAAGTTACCTGTGTGTTGTAGTCTGTAAAAGTCTCCTTTGCCTTTCTCCTTTGAGCCATTGTCTGTATTTTCCCATTTTTGTGTGCTTTGCACATAGCATCACTTGACCTTTTCGTGTGGCACTGTGAGGAGGAATATCTTTGCAGTAAATATAATACAGGCTATAATGTGTTCCTTCACATCTTGGGATTTGGATGTAAATAATCAGCAAGGCTTATGGCTTACCTGCTTGAATTAATTAAGCCAAGTGCTTAAGCCCCTCTGTAAATCAATTTTAATTTTTTTTTTTTAGTAAGAGCTCATGCAAGTCTTGAATTCTTTATCAGCAAATGGCAGAATCTTCACTCCTACCACTGAAATCAGGATTTCCTTAGTCATCCTCAAGCATGTTTACACCCAAGAGCTAGATTGTGCTGTGGCAAACCTACACAGCCTCACACACTGGGCTGGGGCATAAGGGACAGCCTGCCTTCCTGGTCCTGTTCTGTCATTTCTTAATGCCCAAAACATAAATACCTTCTGGTAGCAGATTTGTTTCTCATGTCCTTCTTGGTATCATTCATATACCAAAATTCTCTTAATTAGGAAAAATATTGCTGAAAATAATTAATTTTAGGCAGCCCTTTATGGCAAATATCTGTTCTGTGGCTGAAGCCCAAATATCTGGGTTTAATATTCCACCTGTTCCACACTGCAAGGATTGATATCAGTGATGAAATGAGCAATATTCACACCACATAACGTTAACTGGGAAACAATGAAGTGTTTAGCCTGCACTCTTTTTTGTCCAAGTGAACAGAAAGGTATCCAACAAAGAAATTTATTCCAGCCTAAGGTCAATAACTAAGCCCTCTGAAGGGCTAATATTCTCCACTGCCTGTGGTCTTTGGGTAACTCAGGGGTGCTATCTACCATCTCTGACATGATAAAAATTAAGGTACATGGATCCTATTCCAAACTGAAACGTTAGGGAAAAAATTTAATTCTCCCATTCCTTTAAAAACAAACAAACATAAGACAAACTGAGGTTTATAAATTCTTCTATTTTAATGTAGTCCAAAGTGGGAAGGAAACCTCTCTTTGGGCTCCTCTTGGTTTTGATTTTTGTGATAGTGTGGCAGGTTTGATGGAATTTCTGGGCCTGAACCTGATTCCAGAGAATTTTGAAGTAACTTCAGAGAGGCCTAATTTAATTCTAACTTGAAGAGTGAAGAAACAATTATTAAACTGACAAGCCACAATGATACTCTATGTTACTGTTTTAACTTTTGAGAAGTTGCTTTGGCCACATAATGCATTTGGCATGCACAGATCTTTTCCCTTGTATTTTAAGTAACTCCTTTGGGAAAGAGGGGCATGGGGTCTGACATTTCTGAAAGAGAATTTGATTTCATCAAATACAGTGTGATCAGTCATTGTCCTTTCCTTATGACCTGGTTTTGATCTGCTCAGCATAACTGAACTTCGGTAGCATCTGTGTTCTTCAAAGTTAGGATTCAGAGATGTGAATTCTACTCTCCATAATCTTAATTTTTTTAATGAATGAATTTCAGGTTCTCAACCTTTTCATTGCCCTCCTGCTGAGTTCCTTCAGTGCTGACAGTCTCCAGACAACAGAGGATGACGGAGAGATGAACAATCTCCGGATTGCCTTCGCTCGCATCCACAGGGGATTTCACTTTGTCAAGAGCAAGACGTGGGACACCTGTTGTGCAAAGCTCAGGCATTTAAAGAAAGTACACAGGAAGAAAATCAAATTGACTGCACAGAACTCACTTGGGTTCAAGTGTGAAGAAATAAAAAACCGTAAAGAGAATTACAACAATGAATGGATTGAGAAAAATGGGGACAAATGCTCAGGTCTTGATGATTTTGTTAACAATCCCAATATATTTGTTTGTGTCCCTATTGCTGAGGAGGAGAACACGAGTGAGGGTTTTGAGGATGATGATAAACTGAGCTCATTTACAGAGACAGAATGCAGCAAACAGGTAATGAATTCCTTTGTTTGTGTTGGAACAGTAGAATTGTGCATATATGTTTATACAGAGGGATGCACATGTGGTAGAAGATGGTCTCTAGCAGAACAGGGTGGGATATGTTGATCCTTTTCCAGAGAGTTACAAAATTTTGAACTAGAAGCAAAAGTACAAATATTTAGAGCCAGGGCAAGTCACCACTTGGAGCCTTTTAAAATCAAGATTCTTTCATGTTCTTAAAATAAAGAGTATAAACTGTTGAGAGTGCTGCAATAATTTTTAACTGACTTTGTGGTGCACACAGGTAATGACATAACCCATAGGTAATTGTGGAAGTCCTTTTTTTTATATAAAAATTTATGTGAAAAAATTATGTGAATAATGTCAACTGTTTTGGTATTATGTACATAGAAGAGCAAAAATACATATTCTGCATAAAGAACATGACCATGGACTCATAATATTAATGTATAGCTCTGGTCCTTACTTGGTATTTGTCCTCATTGCATGTAGTAATTATTAGAAATTACTAAGATTAAGTATGGAGTGGCTCTACTAAGGTCATATTTCTCATATGACAGCATATATTACCCTTTTTCTTTGTGCTCTATGAATTTTTCAGTTCTATTTTAACCATAATTGCCATTCTGGTCTCAAGATTTCCGACCTTACATTTCCATCTTAATTCCTATGCAAATATTCTCACTTCTGAATAGATCACTAAAATTCCTTAATTTGCTGCATGTCTGTTGGGAAAAATTTCTCTATCAGACTCAAAATGATCCTATATTATGACTTTTGTCTGGAGAGTCTCACTTTAAATGCAATGCATATCTTATCTTTCTTTCCCCTCCGACTTGTCCCCCTCCTAAAAGCGGAAAGAAACTCCCTCTAATCCACAGATTATTTTCAGGATGAAAATCACCTGAGGCAAAGGGGAGAAAGAGCAAAAAATTCAGGCAGCTGGAGTAAAGGATCAGGATTTTCCTCCGAGGAATTCAGCGTGCTTTACCCAGGAAAGGACAGGATGGGTGAACCATCATCACCAGAACAAAAAGAGGTAGCAATTGTTTCTCAACTTGACTTTCCAATACTGGTCAAGCACGGGAATGTTCCTGTTCAAGGATTTACAGGAGTGGAGAATAGTGCCAGAAGCAGCTCTGAGCTGCAAAATTGTTTTGTAGCAATTATAAATAATTTATAAAATTCTCTCTGCTACTTTACATTTACTCAGTTCTGAGTCTTCCAAAAAAAAGAAAAAGAAGAGGAGGATTAAAAATAAAAAGGTATTAAAAGAGAGATAAGCTTGCAAGTGGGAAATTCCAGGAAGCCTGCCTGTTTCAAGAAATATAATGATTGAAATGAGTTTCTCTCTATGTCATTAAACATGGTAGTTATTAATTTACAATATTTTTGGAGTAATTCTGAATATAGAATACATTCAAAGAAAGAAGTAAAAAACAGCATTATGCAAACATGAAGGAACAAAAGCATAGAGTAAGTAATTTGTAACAAACTGCTGTCTCATCAAAAATCGTATTTGAGATAATGGGATGGCAAAAAGCTTTATAACTGAAAATATAGGGTATGATTTCAGTTTCTTCTTCATAAATGCTGCCTTGGGTGCTCAGTTCCTGACTCAATAATATATATTTATCTGTTTCTCCTGTTTAAATTAATCTTTCTCTGATTTCATGGGTTTAACACAAGTAATTTATCCTGCTTTGAGGACTTCATGGCCTCATATGCAATTTAAAGCTCTTCAATTTACCAGCTGATTAGGCAGAGTTACCTCTGGTTCATGTAGATAGATATTGTAATTATAAAGCTTTGGCTTCTATTTGGAGGCACCTATTGGTATTTCTAAGCTCATATGCTTTTAAAATCACAAAATTTATTCCAACACTACTTGTAATATTAGTACATAGCCATATTTTAATTCTATTTTTTTCATGGATGAATTTATTCATTTGGAGCTGAACATAGAAAGAAACAATACCTGATATTACTTTGTTTGGTAGTTTGACAGTGTCAGCTCTTCTGAAGGCAGCACAGTGGATCTGACAAATCCCGAAGATGTTTTGAGGAAGATTCCAGAATTTTCTGAAGACTTCAAGACTCCAGAACAATGTTTCCCAGAAGGTAAGACTCTTGTGGTTTCACTACTGGGAAGCGAGAAGGTTTAACACCAAACTTGTTTCTCTAGTGATGCTGAGCCTATTTAACTTTAGTTAATTTCAGTTTTCTGGAAATTGGCTAAACAGTTAAATCTTTAGAGACCTGAAAGCTAAAACCCCTTCCCCTTAAAGCAAATTGCTTCCAAATGGGACTTGGACAATGGCACAGACCCCATTCCAAAAAATGGGATTATTATAGTGAGGTGTGATGAATTTCACTCTGTTGGACAGCAACCAAGTCACTCTGGGGGTTTAATGTTAGAGAAGTGGATGTGATCAGGTCTCACCTGGCAGTGGCCACTGGGATAAGAATGGTTTGGGTTGGAAGGGCCCTTAAAGATCATCCCATAATCTGAGGATCTCTTCTCAAATCATCACACAACATCTGTCTTTGCACTGGATGTGTTCAGCACTTTTATGACTTCTTCCTACCCTAACACATAATAGCATGCAGCTTTCACATTCCAGATCCACATTACTGGGGATTATTGAAATAAAAATAATCAGATTTTTTTACATGTATTATAGCCTATAATCTAAATCAGTTATACATGCAATATTATATAATTTGTGTATAAGATTTTATATATAAATATGACACGTGTATATATTATTTTTACTTTGCTTGGAAATGACAGAAGCCTTCTGACTGGTGTTGTTTGCCATAGTGAAAACATGAATTAATGGAGAGAATACAGAAAGGAAAAAGTTAGACAAAGTGAGTTATTCTTGGAAAAACTAACAAGTAGACAAACCCAGGATTTTGTGAAGGGGTGATCAGAAAACATTAAGTGGCCCTGGCATCATTGTCTGTCATGAGAAAGAATCTGGTGAGCTGGAAAGGAGATGTCTCCTTTTATAAAGCCTATGTATCAGCTAGAATATAACACATATTTGCAGGTTCTGTTATATAAAATCAGCCACTCCATACATTCAGAAGCAAATGAATAAATGAACAGACCTCTGAAGGCATGGTATAAGGCTGCAATATTGAAGACAATTGTTTACCCCCCCTGTTTCAAAGCCTTTTTGTTCTGGGGCATCTCATCTCTGCTTTCCAAACAGTGTGCAGGAACTGAGAGAGGCTTTTGTAACAACGAGACTCTTCCTGTGGCCCTGAAGTTTTGTGTGCCCAAACATCAGGTCGGTAAGAGCCTGTCCAGTGTCTCAGAAATATCTTGAAATAATGGAAACTTGTCCAAAGGGGCTCCACCTGCTTTATGTGTGTATAAGTGGGAGCTACAAGGCAAGCTAAACTAGATGTCTCCTGATTTTTTTTCTCATGGAAAACAAGGGAAAACAACAAACAAGGATGCAGTTACTGTGGCTGTTGACAGAAGTTTCTTGAGCAATCCTTCACATTCATGCACATTCCTTCCATACACTCATTGCTGTCTCTCTCTTTCAGCTTGTGCTCGATACTTTCACTGTTGTGTGGGTAGTGCTGCAAAGTTTGGAGGAGAAAAGTGGTGGAATCTGAGAAAAACCTGCTACCAGATTGTTGAACACTCTTGGTTTGAATCCTTTATCATATTCATGATTCTTCTGAGCAGCGGAGCCCTGGTTAGTGTTTCATATTTCATGCGTTTCAGCAGTTTCACGTATCAGTTTAGAAGGATTTTTGGCTTTAATCAGAGATGTTTTTAGTAACAAATGCAGTGAATATCTTTGAACTCATAAGGAGAAAACAGAAGAGGCTTCAACAGCAGTCATTCACTCCTTTAATTATTTCAAATCTATTATTCATATTATTAAAAATTATAAGAGAGCATGAGCAAAGCTAAAAATACATAAATCTCAGAAGCTGTTTCTATTGTGACTGTATACTGGATTTTTCTCAGGAAGTTATGTCAGAGTTGTGAAATATTAAGGAGTTTTTATACCATTAAAACAAACAAATGACTCTTAATACTTGGGGGGGGGGGGAAAGTATTTGGTTTTCTTAAATATATAAATTTCTTATTAAATTTCTAAAAATATATACTGTCCTAGGATTTCATTGTGCATGATGGTGCAACCACAGGGCTGTACTATATAGAGAAAAAGAAAGAGAAGGGGCATGGAGAATTATTTTATCAGCTTTTATCATCAGACACAGATTTGAGTAACACATGGTGTTCAGATCTGTGTTAAAATGTATTGAATGATGAAGGGGGTCTTAACGCTGCTTGACTTTGATTTTATAAGGTTCATTTCTGACTTTTGCCATTTGTCTGTGTATTATGATTTAAGGCATTTGAAGACATCCATATACACAAGAGAGTCAGAATTCAAATGATACTGGCATTTCTTGACAAAATGTTCACTTTCATCTTTGTTCTGGAGATGCTTCTGAAGTGGGTGGCTTATGGCTTCAAGAAGTACTTCACCAATGCCTGGTGCTGGCTGGACTTTCTTATTGTAGATGTAAGTTCTGCCTTTGGTGCCTGATTATTTTCTGGATGGAAATTTCAGACAGTACTCTTACCTCCTGTAGTGATGGTGTCAGGATACTGCACTCCAGGCATGGGAACTATGAGGAGATTTGGGTTTGTTTGTTGGGGTTTTTTGTTTGTTTGTTTTGTTTTGTTTTGCTTTTTGAAAGAAAATAAAGGAAAACTATGACAGGACATTGCTAATACTTTCTTTTGTCTTCCCACTCAGGTCTCTTTGATAAATCTCTTCGGCAGTACATTTGGCCCCATTAAATCTCTTAGGACTCTCCGAGCTCTGAGACCCTTAAGAGCATTGTCACGGTTTGAGGGAATGAGGGTAAGACTGATTAAAAATTAGACCTTCAGAGCTTCTCAGATAAGCACATAACAGATTTGTTACTCTGTGTCTTTATGAAGTTCACATATCTACTCCGAGTTCCATTTAGGAACTATAAAACGAATTTGTAAAGAGGCCCTTGCTTGTGTTCTTCTGAACTTGGATGTTCCTTTTAAACTTTCCTGGAGTGATTGATCCTAAGTGCTGTTGAAACTAAAACTAGCCTAGGTGGAACTTTGTTCCATTGCTGCTCAGTCATTCTTGTGTTCCTGTCTTACTGAGATAGGCAAAAATCAAATAGAGAATAAGAACTATGAGCACAATTCTGATTTGTGAAGTCTGATGGAAAGCTAACTCATAAAGTGTCACTTCCCTTCTGCAAGTTTTTACTGGTTTGTTTTACAAAATCTTCAGCCTATTAGAAGGTGCTTTGCTCAAATTATTGTTTCAAATAAACTTCTTTCATAAATCAAGAGTGTTTTTCTGTAGAATATTTGATGGGGTTTTTTTCCATCAAAGGAGTACCTGGAACAGTGTGATGCTGCTGGACATTAATCACATTTACTTACAAATCTACCATTGTGCAAATGCAGAGAGGGATTCCCATAGTCATGTGATAAAACACATCTGAACAGTGCAATGGGAAACAGTAGGACAACCACAGTGGTATTCTGGGCAAAAGTCTGGTCTACAGAATGTGCTCTGGTACATGAAAAACAGATGATAGAAATACATATGGCATCATTGTCATACACTTACAAAGGGAATGGTTTGAAACTAAGAGGAGAAATTCAGAATAGATGTTAGGAAGCAATTGTTTCCTGTGAGGCACTGGAACATGTTACCCAGAGAAGCTGTGGCTGCCCCATCTCTGGAAGTGTCCAAGGCCAGGTTGGATGGGACTTGGAGCAACCTGGGATAGTGGAAGGTGTCCCTGCCCATGGCAGGGGGGTGGAACTGGGTGATCTTTAAGGTCCCTTCCAACCCAATCCGTTCTGTGGAATACAGACTCAATGCAGCTGAGATATGGATTGCTTTTGGATATTTTCAGGAAGTGAGGCTGAAGGCTTTCTGATTGCAATTGTGTCCTGTAAAGACAGAGAGAAATGGTATTAAATTAATTAGCAGAAAGTATCAAAATTTCTATGTCTGGAGTCAATTTTGAAACAGCTAACATCATACTTTCTGTCTTGCTATGCAGAATGTGTGTGACATGGTCTCCAAAAACCTTCCCAAAGCTTTTTAATTTTTCTGCTGGTCCACCAAGTTGTTGTTTGCTGCCTGACAGCTGAGTTCACTACCTTCACTGGGAAACTCAAACATATATTCTCATCATTTCCTTATACTGCGCTATTTTATAAAGCAATCTGTCATATTTTAGCTTGCTTTTAAAATCTACAGGGACATTTTCTGTGGTTGCAGCACCCAGCACAGAAAAAGTACTTAGCCCACGATTGTAGACCCCAAACACAACCCCAATCCTCTAAAAATAATAGATGCAATAAAATACTAGTGGAGAGTTATTTTAAAATATTTAAAATAAATTTTAAAAATTTAAAAACTACTTTTGACAGTCTTAATAATACAGTCCTCTGCATTAGTGCTTATGGATGAATACTTCAAAAATTTAATCTTAATAAAGTTTCAAACAAAGAAGCCAATGGACTATCTTTCACTCCAGAACCAAGGGAAAGTTAAAAAAAAAAAGTGGATGGACTCACATTTTAGTACACTTATATAGTGGGGCTCACAGCAAACTAAGAAGTGTCAATTATCCGTTTGAAAGCCTAAGAGATACTATGGACACTGTTCAAGATACCCCTGCCAGCTGTGACTAGTATTGACATGGCAGATATCAGTTTTTGTTTGCAGAGATGACTGACTGTTTATTATTGATACCTGAGCCCATCTTTTTTGAAGTGTGTTTTTCCTCTCCCATTTCATCTAAGGTGGTTGTCAATGCCCTCGTGGGAGCCATCCCTTCCATCATGAATGTTCTGCTTGTCTGCCTCATCTTCTGGCTCATCTTTAGCATCATGGGAGTGAACCTCTTTGCTGGGAAGTTTGGGAAGTGTGTCAACCTGACAGAAGAAGATTCCAAATTAAGTGACATGATCAGAAACAAATCAGACTGTGAGAGCTATAATAACACAGGAAAAATATTCTGGGTCAATGTCAAAGTCAACTTTGATAATGTAGGCTCTGGCTACCTGGCTCTCCTTCAGGTGGTAAGTGCTGCTCTCCCTCCCTAGCCAGCATCATGTCAGATAGGCTTGACCTTCTGCCAACTCCTAAATTATCTCTGTGGGTGATGAAAAGAATGAAATATAATACAGCTTACCCTTTCCATGTAACTGACTGTTCGGGCACACAAATGGGAAAAGGGGGACAGATGAGATCCTGCTGAAATTTTTCCAGATGGCAAAGTAAGCATCTGGTGGGCAAGGGCTGTTTCAACCTCCAGCACATTCATGATCCTGAGAACTGGACTCAATCTCAGAAAATATCTGGGGCAAATACTGACCTGTTCTGTTGAAATATGGATTTGTTCAGCAATGAGGGTTGCAAGGCCTTTAGTACCATGCTAATGCTCTGTCAACATCCTAGGACAGCATGTTCTGTCCCATCCTGGCCAGCTTTCATCTCCTAATGAGGCTGAGAATGCCCCACATAAAGCAGCATCAGACCTTGGTGCTTTGTGTGTTTGATCATACCAAAGGCTAGTGCTCCAGTCAGCATCGTTTGGATATTGCAAATTATGTGAAGACTTTTATGGTCAAAGTTCAATACATTTTCCATAATCTCCCACTCTAGGCAACATTCAAAGGTTGGACGGACATCATGTATGCAGCAGTAGATTCAAGAGAGGTCAGTCATCGTACTCAAGCCATGTTTTTTGTTAATGTTACTGCTTTCTGCAAATGCATTATTAGTTTTGCACTTCTACAACTGCTGTTCTGTCTGTGCTAAATCTTTCCAGTAATTATTTATTATCAGCTCATGTGAACATTTAATTTGCAAATGAATCATAGAATCCTGAAGTTCCTCTGTTGTAATGGGGACAGGGTTTCAGCTCAGATCCTCCCACCTAAATGCAGTTCCTCTAGTGTAAAGTTTCCATGGGAGTTCCTCTCCAACTGCCCTCTGTCATAAATGGGGATCTAACTGATGTGCTCAGAGGGATCTAGGGAACATTTCAACTCAACCTGGATATTTATACTGTTCAACTGAGCACCACTTTATGTTATATTTACTCTGCTGATGACTGGATGTCCATCAGTTAGAGGAGAGCTGAGTTTCTTGCCACCCACCTTCACACATCTTTTATGAAACTCAAGCTTGGAGTAAACCTGCATGTTTTACACTGACATAAAGTCCACTTCAAAACACAAAACCAAACTTCCTCCAGAATCAAGCTATTGTGCCTAAGCAGCCATTTGAAATATATTCTCAGGCATCACTAGTGCTATTCTGCTTATCCTTTATATTACCAGAAACATTTGTTGTCTTATTAAAAGTATCATCCAACATTACACAGAACAAAGCGATGTGTCTTTGGAAGCAAAGAATTTGAAATGAAGAGGATTTCTTAATTTCATCATGAGTTCAAAGGACTCAAAGAATTTTAAAAGTAACCATATATTAAAATATTTCTGTGTGTGATTCAATTTTTTTTCTTTTTGCTTCAGCATGAAAATTTATTTTTGTTCATATTTTGTTTTTATTCATAATAACCATCACAGAAGTTTTTGCTAAAAAAGAAAAAAAACAACAACATAATTAGGACAAGATTTTTAATGGCAAGAGCTTGGAATTTGACCTCTAAATAGTTTGCTTGATTTTTTTTCAAGTGCTGAGCAATTGACAGCTCTTGTTCTTATTGGAAGGAACTGAACTGGTGCTTCTGAAATGTTTGTGAAAATTATGTCAAGAATATTTAATTCAGTAACCATTTCTATTGATTTTATTAGGGTCTTAGTCAATTGTAAATGGTGGAAATTTAGGTCAGGTTTAAAAAGAAAAAAGAACAAAAGCCACAATAATCAGTTTTTGTGTAAATAAAAAAGTAAATAAAAGTAAACCTCATCTACCATTAGTCAAAGACTAGGTCACGCTCTACAATTTTTTCAGTGGAAATATATTCAATAATAATGAATTTTTTGTGTTCTGCAATGCTTTAGCCAGAAAATACATAAACAAACATTGTAAAAGAAACCAAGTTAACAAGTTTTCATAGCATAAACACTTTGTAGTACTATTATTTCCAGATATATTTTCTGATTAGTTATGTCTCAGGTGTTTTGCTTGGTGTATCGTTTCATAAGGTTCCAGGTTAATTCAAAAGGGGTAGTATTCAGCATCTGAGCAATAATGTCCCTATAAGTTCCTAGAATTCTGATTCATCTAGTAGTCATAGTATAATTGTTAGTTTCTCATCCTTTCAAAACTGTCATGTACAAGTAAAATTTGGTGTTATGCACTATTGATAGTTTTAAATGATACCAATTTTGTCAGAATGAGCAGTAAGATTGTAAATGGTAGCTCCTCCTGGAATCAATTTGTGAGAGGATCTGCAATACGAAGGTTATTTTGAATTAGGCCCATGTTGTTACTGGTTATTTTTCAAGTTGCACCTTATTCTTGCAGAAAGATGACCAGCCAGAAATGGAGCACAGTCTGTATATGTATCTCTACTTTGTGAACTTCATCATCTTTGGATCCTTCTTTACCCTGAACCTCTTTGTTGGTGTTATTATTGACAACTTCAACCAACAAAAGAAAAAGATAAGTGTATTGGTTGTGCTTTGACCTTGAGCAATGCTATCTTTAGTGAGCAAGGTCCTGTACATAGAATCTAAACCTTCTATTGGCACTTACTGGAGCATTAATAATTAAGTTACCAGAAACAACACTCCAGGTGAGTTTCTTCCTCCTTTCTTTTCCCCCATAACCTTAACACCTGGGTCTTTCCCAAACGTTTTGAAACCTCTTACAGTTTTGTCCCCTTCTGGGAAATGATCATGACAGGAGATTCATTATTTAGAAAGTGGTCTGGTACTGATGCTCTGATGAGTATTTTGGATTCTCCACAAGCGCAGGATGTGAGAAGCCAGGGAAAGATTTGTTCCAGTCCAGTTTCTTTCAGTAGTTCTTTTGTTTGTGTGCTTTTTGAGTGAGCTGAGTTTCACCTCAGGACTTCTGCTCAGTGAATCTCTGGCTGGGGCTACTCTCATTTTTTTGGACACAGTTACACTTTATGAAAAGGGCCAGAACCAGCAAGATATGAAAAAGGAAGAAATGTCAACTTCCAGAATTTTAGACTTTGTGACTACAATAGTGCTGCTTTCTCACCAAATAACAGTGACACTTCTTTGTATACTTAGGTGGGGAAGATATCTTTATGACAGAAGAACAGAAAAAATACTACAATGCAATGAAAAAGCTGGGATCCAAGAAACCTCAAAAACCCATTCCAAGACCACTGGTAAGACAGTATTCTTCAAAAGGAAAACGCACTGCAGAAGTGCAGTTTAATTCACTGAAAAGCACATGTGTTCATATATTGCCTATAAATTATTTATACCGTTTTTACGTTGATACTCACACGTTGGTCTAAAGTCAATTCTGCACCGAAAAGTTTACTGAATTATTTTACAGGTTAAATATTTATTAAGTTCTCTGCATAAATATTATTTGGTTTTACATTCACCTTGGAACTGATTAAACTTCAGGATGACAAGGGATTTTTAATGTCATTTTTATGTTCTGCCTTTCTCAAATCTCTGACTTCACTGCAGCCGAGTGACTTTGCGACATAAAAATTGAAGCTGTTGGAAACGTGTACAGATGAGTACTCCCTACTTCCATAGCTGATGTCAGATGTATTTCTTTTTTTCCTCTAGAACAGATACCAGGGGTTCCTTTTTGACATTGTAACGTGCCAAACCTTTGATGTTGTCATCATGGTTCTCATCTGCCTTAACATGATCATGATGATGGTGGAAACCTATGAGCAAAGTGACACGAAGACGAATGTCCTGAACAAAATCAATATACTCTTCGTTGTCATCTTTACTGCAGAGTGTGTTCTGAAATTGGTGGCTCTGAGGCAGTACTATTTCTCAAATGCCTGGAACATATTTGATTTAGTGGTTGTTATTATGTCACTTGTTGGTAAGTAAAATTTTTTGGCAGTTTCTTCACAGAATCAATTATTACTACTTACAGGAAAAAAATAGTTAAAATTTATCAACTTCAAATGGACCTTAAAATGTAAGTCAGAATGCAAAGTCTTAAGGAAAAAAATAACTAATCCCCCCCCCTATTTTTTACATATATATATATATATATATATATATATATATAAAAGACAACTCTTAACATTAAATCTTTCATAATGGTTCTTTAGGTTGTTTTTTTCCCTAGTCTGAAAGGCAGAATGAAAAACCCACCACAGCAGTATCACATTATGTGATAATTCCATTGACACAGACTTAGTGCCAACTAAGAAATCTTCAATTAGATCATGTTGTTGGGTTTTGTCATCTTTGTTTGTGACAGACAACTGAAATATACAGAGAATAAGAAGACTGGAATTAAATTATAGACTACAGAATTCAGTTTCTGGAAACTCAGGCATTGCTGACTGAAAACAAAGGTTCATACTCTGTAACAGCATAGAAAAGATGACCAAAAATGTATTAGTTTTTATTTGAAGGAATTACACCAGACAAATACGAAAAGGAGCTCTTTTGCCTATTTTGAACTTTCTGTCAATTTAACTTATTCCTAAGGCTAATATTGCCAAGTAGCAGAAGGCATCTAGGGAAAGAAAAAAAATAGAATTGTTTCTTTGATATGACTTATGGTTTGGGTAAGTAAAATTAAAGTAAGACTACGGCACTTTCTTGAGAAATTAAGTTCCTGAGCAGAAATCCAGAAAAATGTACCCAAAACAGGTAAACCTAGAAAAGCCAAATCCCTTCTAGTGCTTCTAGATGTAATTTTTTTCATTCAAACAAAGAAAAAAATAACATCCATGTCTAGCTACATCCTGGAATTAAAAGCCATTGTAGAGTGGCAAGTACAACTTCTGTGTTTATCATTGTGTTTGCTTATACATATCTTGCCAAAATTTTCTAAATGATGACCATGATGACATTGTATGATATCTCATTTTCTTAGTTCAGCTTTATAGTGTGTATTGGGAGTCACATATAGAAGGTAAGAATGTAACCTACACCTGCTGAAGTATTAATGCAACCAGTGTCAAAGAAAACCATCAGTCATCAAGTGCTACCTGATGCAGATATTTTAAGTTGTGCATAGAAGGGTGCTTGCAATCCTTAGTGCAGCGGCTCTTCTGACGGCTGAAGAATGTAGTTCTTAATTGCTGATTTCTGCAACTACATTTTCAACTCAACTTCTCCTAAAGGTTGTTCTGGTAAGGTCTTAGAACACACACCTCAGGTATTTTCCAACTGTGCAGATATCATCATTCCATCCCGCTTACCGGTTAAGCAGAAATGTGATATTCTAACCAGTTGTTATCCTTTCCATTTTAGCCCTACTGCTTTCTAGCATTGGCAAAGCATTTGAGCATTTCTTACCACCCACGCTCTTCAGGGTCATTCGCTTGGCTCGGATTGGACGGATCCTGAGACTCATCCGGGCTGCCAAAGGAATTCGGACTCTGCTTTTTGCCTTAATGATGTCCCTGCCTGCTCTGTTCAACATTGGCCTCTTGCTTTTCTTGGTCATGTTCATTTATGCCATTTTTGGCATGGCTAACTTTGCCTTTGTGAAGATGGACGATGGCATTGATGACATGTTCAACTTCCAGACCTTCGCTAACAGCATGCTCTGTCTCTTCCAAATCACCACGTCAGCTGGATGGGATGGTCTTCTCAGTCCTATTTTAAACACTGGGCCACCATACTGTGATCCAAGCGTAAGTGGTATTGTAGGTGAATGTGGTAAACCTGCCATAGGTATTATTTATTTTGTAAGTTACATCATTATATCATTTCTCATTGTTGTAAACATGTATATAGCTGTTATTCTGGAGAATTTCAACGCTGCTACTGAGGAAAGTACAGAGCCTTTAGGGGAAGATGACTTTGACATCTTTTATGAAATCTGGGAGAAGTTTGATCCTGAGGCAACTCAGTTTATAACTTTCTCTGCGCTTTCAGACTTTGCAGATGCTCTGGCTGAACCTTTACGTGTACCAAAACCAAACAAAGTTGAACTCATGGCCATGGACCTGCCCGTGGTCAGTGGGGACAAGATACACTGCTTGGATATCTTGTTTGCTTTTACCAAGAGAGTGTTAGGAGATTCTGGGGAGCTGGATACTCTAAAAGTACAAATGGAGGAGAAGTTCATGGCTGCCAACCCGTCAAAACAATCCTATGAGCCAATATCCACCACACTCAGACAGAGACAGGAGGAAGCGTGTGCCACAGTCATCCAACGTGCCTACAGGAGTCACCTGCTCCTACGCTCCTTAAAACAGGCTTCTTACCTGTACCATCGCAGAACTTGCAGTGCTGACACTCTGGGAGAGGCTGCTCCAGAGAATGAGGGACTTATTGCATCTATGATGGCTGCAAACTATGGTAGGAGTCCTAACAAGTCTGAAACTTTGTCCTCAGTATCCATTCCTCCATCGTATGACAGTGTCACAAGAGAGAGTAGTGGCAATCCCGTGGTAGAGAATGGAAAAATAACAGATAATCAGCAATCTCCAGACACTAAATAGTTCATCAGTGACAAAGCTGTTAAGAATGTTTTTTTAATGTTCACAGAAGATGATATTGTAAATATGTGTCAGCTGAGGCAGTCTCCCTGTGAAAAGAAGTCTGTTGGTGGGGATCAGTTACCTATGGCAGCTGGAGAATCGTGGCCTTTGGCTCTGCTGTGTCCAGTTTTCTTCAATATTTCTGATTTGGAGAAAGGTGTTGGATCTGTCTGATCAAGGGCATCCCACTGCAGAGCCCACAGTACCAAGTGCTGCAGCGTGTTCACAGCAGTGAGAGGTGACCTCTGCTGACACTTCCCTGGTGCCAGAAGCAGACAAAAGCCCAAGCACCAGTGGATCTCCCGGAGAACAGAAAATGAATGTCCATATGAGTATAAACTGAGGAATGGAAAGGAGCCAAAATTTACTCTTATTCCATTCCTAATTGACACTATGATTATAAACCTGTTTAGCACTTGGCTGCTGATTTTTTAATTTTTTTTTTTTTTTTTTAATGTTTGGGGACAGATGTGCCACAAACACAGACCCTGCATGATCCACAGATATGCCACAGTATAGTGGACTTCTTCCCATGTGATCAGTTTACAGAATAAGTCATGGCATGTGTGTTGTTGTACTACTGAAGTTTAATGAAACAATAAATACGACTCCTAGTATTACAGAAGTTGTACTCATCAGAGCAAAACCTTGCTTTATGTTTTGTTTGTGAAGATTATTTTTTTAACCTGGTTTCCTCTTGCATTGAAGTGAAGGCAGCTGTGCCACATGTCTGTCAGTCACCCCATAACAAATAGTGTTTATTTCATTATTTCCTCAAACTTCATCTAACGAGTAAGTTTTTTGCTCAAGTTAATTCCTGACAATGTGGTAGAGAACAGAGACAAAAATAAGCATTTCCACTGGCAGGAAATTGGTAGCATCACTTCAGCCACTCCCTTACACACCAGAAACCCAGGCTAGGGAGCTCCATGTGGGACCCATCCGAGCTGTCCTTGTTCATGGTGGTGAGCATCATTCACTGCCATGGAACGAGGCCTAAGGTAGATGTGTCCCATTGGAGGTAGGAGCCTTTCCCGCTTCTGCCTGTGCTTCTCTGATGGGAGAACCAGCTTTCTCTCTCCTGCAAAGATTAGAAGCAACCAAAGTATGGGTAACGTGGGAAATCAGGAAACCTGTGTTGAAGCATTTGGGTCTGGAGTTAACACAAGACTAAGGATGTAATCATAAATTCTACTTCTCATGGAACTACCTGTGCAGATGGTCTCTCATTCCTCATGGTTCTCTCATTTCACCTCGTTTTCCTTATGAAGTCCTTTATCTTCATGTCCTCACAGGTTGGGCTTCTCAGAAAAACACATGGCCAGTCAGTACTCAGTCTTTCAGTCTTTGTAGAAGCAGTTTGGAGACACTTCCAGTGGATGCACTTTGTTGTCAAAGGACTGTTGTGTTTTTCTTTATCATGCACTAGACATAGTCATAAATTACCCCTGACACTTTAATTTCTTACTTAAACTTCAAGCTCATTAGTTTAAGATGTTTTTTACTTTTCTTAGCCACAAGGCTGGAGCTGAGTGGTCACTGTTGGGTTTGGCAGGTTCTGGCAAAACTCAGGTGAGCTTTTCACTCCACACTGACTTTAGACAGAAAAGAACTTGGGTTTTGTGGCTGTGTGGGACCTGCTGTGCACTTTGCTTGCAACCTGCAGCAAGTTGTTTTCTCTCTTCAGCACCCTTTCTCTACTGTACCAGTTCTGTGTCCTGTCTTGTGTCACTTGCTTCTTCTGTCTTTTTCACCTCTTCAGATTGTGAGGTTTTTGGACAGAAATTCTCTGTTAATATGAATGGTAAATTACACCTAATAACAAGACTCTGTTTCAGTTAATATTGTCTGAAGACTGATGCAAAAAAATAATGTTTATAGTACCTTTTAATTTCCTCTGTGGTATTCCCTTACCTATCCATTCTTGGTATCATAGCATCTTTAATCAGTTTTTATTAATATTCCCTCAGATTTTAAGGTAGGTGCAAAGTGAATATGTGCTGTACCAGAGAAGTCAACAGCTCTGTGCCTTTGGAACCCAGGGGCTCTATTCCTTAAAAAAAAATAAAACCAAAAACTACAAAATAATGTTTAAAATTCAGTTTAGTTGGCTAAAATAACTTTTTTTAAACGACTTTCCCGGTTTGTGACCTATCACAGGTGAGGAGTTGACTACATGGAGCTTGTGAGATGGTTTTCACCAGCTCCACCTGTTCAAATTCAGCTTCCCAAGATATGCAGGATCAACTGAGGAGTAGTAAAGAGCCACATGCATTGTTCTCCTTGGTCTGGGGGTGCACTGAACAGTCCTGACATCGTATTCTCACAGGAGATTGCATTGAACACATCCATACCTAAATTTGGTGCAACTCAACTTAGCCAGTCTGTGTGCCAGGAAGGGGTTTTTTTCCGATTGTAAAAATAGTTTATTGTTTGTCAGCCACAAAAAAGCCTGAAACTGAGCCAGAGCCACACCAATGTAGGAGATCAGATGCACATGATCACTTTGTACCCTAAATGAAATATTTGTTGGTGCAAGAAATGACAAGTATTCCCTAGGGTAAATTTTATCTTCTGCAGAAACTCTTCTGAGTAAAGGTGATAATGTTTAGGGAAGACAGTTCTCTTGCCATGTTCTTTAATCAGAGAATCATAGAATGGTTTGATTTGGAAGAGACCTTAAATACCATTTATTTTCAACCCCCTGCCAAGGGCAGGGACACTTTGCACTAGACCAGGTTGCTGAGAGTCCCATCCAACCTGGTCTTAAACACTCCCAGAGATGGGGCATCCACAGCTTCTCTGGGCAACCGGTGCCAGTGCCTTGAACCACAGACTCACAGAATATTCTGAGTCGGAAGGGACCTGCAAGGATCATCAAATCCAACTCTTAAGCAAATAGCCCATTCTGAGATTGAACCTACAACCCTGGCACTATTAGCACCATGCTCTAATCCTTATGGCAAAAAAAAAAGTCTTCCTTATGTCTAAGCTCAATCAATCCTCTTTCAGTTTAAAACCATTGCCTCATAACCTGTCAGTACAGGCCCTGACAAAAAGTCTCTCTCCACCTTTCTTATAAACCCTCTTTATATAATGAAAGACTACAAGAAGGTCTTCTAAGCCTCAAGAAGGTCACAACCACTTGAGAGATAGAATTCTGAATATAAGCACAGCAATTAGAAAATGTGCTCTTAGGAATTAATAATCTCGCAAATTCTCCTGCTTCGTCTCTGAACCTCCTAATTTTGAATCCTACCAATGTCCATATTAATATCTTAGTTTCCTGTGATAGCTGTGTGTCATACAGTCTTGTTTCTAGATGGATTGCTGCCCTTTTTGGTCATACAGAGCAATATTCTATGTGCATGTCCCATTTTAGTCTTTATTCTGAGAGCAGCGCATTAACAGCCCGGTCTCTTCAACAGTTTCCCCTTCCATAAACCATATGTCACTTATAAATTTTACCTGAAATTACGTACTTTTAAAGAGCTTATTAGTAGAGACAACAAAAAATTGAGGCCTGAGAGCTTTTCCCTTTGACAGTAAATGAGAAACACCAGCTCAAAAACATGATGTTTCTGTTTGTTTCTTTGATATAGAACAATGAATATACCAACAAAGGACATGAGATTTCCCAAACATATGGACCTCTCTGTAGTGGACTTCATTTTACCACCTAAGGCACTCGCATTTTTTCACAGAAAATCAAAGTAATGGAAAAGCCTTGAATATTTGCAAACCAGTCAAAAGAGCTAAAAGGGAAAAAAATAGAGGACTTAATGAATCTAATGAATAAAAAGCTGTTTCCTTCAGCAAAAAACAGGATCTGTAAGATAAACCAGACTGACAGACTATTACTATTGAGACTAGCATTAAAGGGATCATGTGGATAATACAGAGTGTTTCTCAGCTCTTATGCAGATGGATGGGGCTGCATGATATGAAACTCCTACTGCACATGAAAGAAAAAGAAAAACATTTTCCCTCCCATTTGCCAGAGATCTTTGCAATTCAACAGCTATGAATTAAAACTGGACCAAGTGCAGACAAGCAATGCTACAATAAAACAACCCGTGATACAAAAAGAGATTCAGGTTTAGTCAGTTCAACCTTGAAATAACAGCTGAGAGGATGAATTGTAGATCTCAGTAAATAAAGCAGGTGGGAAAATATGAGTGAGGGAGAAAAATGTTTAAAAGACAAATCAAATAGTCAGGGGAAAATTAACCTAGGAATCAGAAGTGGTTTCTATTCTTCAGAGGATGGAGTCATGAAACTGTTTTAGCAGGAGCAGAGAAACCAGTTTGACTGGAAGGTGAATAGTTAACACATTTCTTCAAGGAACTGTGTGCCATAACACTTTTCCAGGAGATCTGTGACCCAGCAGGTCCCTTGGTTCCCTCTCAAAACTATTTCAATTTAATAAAATTGACTGAGATCTGCATCTGCACAGCAAAACTTGTTGAATGCTTCCTCCTAGTGGTTTTTGATCAAAATGACATATTCAAAGTAGGTGGGAAAAAAAAAAAAACAAAACCAGAAAAAATTGGGGTCTCTGTCCTCTGTCTCACGTATAGAGAGTGAAACACAAACAGATAAATAACTGCCTGAAGAAAGAGTATTAGCAACAAGCAGAGAGCTTAGAGGGATTGGAAGGAAGGGTTGTACTGAAAGAAAGCTACTGTTTAAATGTCAGAAAACAAAATGAGTGAGAATTTCTAGAGTAACAGAGAATTAGACCATGAGTAGGCAGCTGAAACAAGTCATTGGTTACATATGAAAGAAGAAGTAAAAGTAAAGAAGATGTGAGTTTGGTTTAAAATGGGGAAGGGATGAGGTTTTGGACAGCTTTAGGGTTAAAGTTTGTCTCTGTCTATATATGATAAACATCAGGTAAGAAATCTCCTTCATTTTTAGTGAAGACTATAGAGAGTGTAGGATTGTATTTCCCTTGGCTG